TATGCGGTTTTTGTTTTAATTCTACGAAATGAACACAAGGACATAGACCCTGACATAGACAAGTTTGATGTGTTAGTGATAATGAAAACGGTCCAAGATTAGTACGGGGTCATTCGATAGTCGGATAGAGCATATTGATCGACAGGTGATTCTTGAACAAGATTATGAGCCATTGACATTGGCCCTTGTCGCTGGTAAATGGCTTTAACCATGAGATAAATCATAAATTCATGTAAATTTTAGCACTTAAAGCATTAATTACGATTTATAATTCAGTAAATTTAATCGTATTTTGGTGACAATTTGTTTAATGCAATAAAGTTATCTATATTAGATATTATCTGTATAGAATACAAATGTTTTTATTGTTAATATTATCTATATTGTGTAGGTATCATAAATACAAAAATAGATAAAAACTTTTATCTGAAATTATCATAATTGTTAACATACCGAAGAGGTTTGTTTTTGCCAAAAATCCGATTTGCTAATTTTATGTTTTGGAAAAAGTATGTGTGTGAGAGAGACAATTTTTCGTAATTGAATGTTCAAAAAAATATTTTTTGTTAAGCGCAATAGGGTTAAGAGCGAGTTACTGTCAAGATTCGTTTTCCTTTTTGCAAGGTATTTTCTGCACTGTCCGGAAGTCCAATAATATTCCGTTAATCATACTATCTATTCGTAGCTGTATTAATTTGTTTTCTAGAACAGTATCCTAATCAGCACATTATCTAATATTATAAATATAACAATGAATAATTTATTAGCGTCAAAGTGCATAATCTAACGAATATCCCACAGTAAGTAGCTGCACGTGCCTAGTAAACGTCATTTAATAATTGATTTTCAACTATTGCTTCCGAGCATGTTTACCGATATTCAAGGATTATTTTACAGCGCTCGGCATTTGTTTATTGCACATGTTGCGGCCTATCAAGGACATTTTATTAACAAACCACGGGATTGTTATTGCATTCTGTAAACACAGATAAAACTACAATTATAATCATATGTGTTATTAAAATTTTTTTCATTATGAATTTATTAATAAGCGCGTAGTTTTCATTTAAACTATATAAATGAGTTAAAATATTTAATTTGTTTTCATATTCTTAGAAACTTTATTAATTATACTGGTCCACAAAACTGTTTTCTCGATAGTAAACTCAATACAGACAACTGTGTATTTGATTCTGTGCTAATATAAATTTGTTATAAATGATTTATTCGTTTTTATTTTTATTTATTTTCTCTCTTTTATTCGTTTTCTATTTATTTATTCAAGTCAAAATTGATTTTGAAATGCTGTAGTGTAGAGCTTTCGATATTAACAGAATATTTATATTTTAGTAAAAATTATTTATATTAGATATTTATCATATTACTACGAAATTGAAGATAAATTCTATTATCAAATAAATGAATATTATTTTACACATGTGCAAAAATCCAAATTTAGAGCAAGGTCTTGAAGCTAATTTACGTTCGATTAAATAGCTTTGGATAAGATTTTTGACATACATTTTGGTCACTTTTTGTTTATTTTTCCAATGATTGATTAAAATGGTAAAGGTTAATTATAAAAATCATGACTTGTAGTAAATGTATCGTACTTGTATAGGTCCTTTAAATATATAACTTGTAGAGTATATGCATTTGTGTGCATATTGTGTTCTATGTAGTACTGTGATTAGGAAGTATATTCTGGAATCTTCCACGATGCAGTTTTCCTTTTGCGTACTAGCAACTTTAGACCTTCATCTAAAGTGAAACGAATGTCAAGGTATCCGTACTACAAGCTGTGCGCGAAAATCATTCGCATGTTGTTGGTAGAGGCAATGAATGCGTATATGTAGAATTCAGTAATCTAAAGTTCTAATTGTGTGCGTGGCTAGACCATTCCCTAAGCCAATATTTAGCACAGAGCACGCGAAGCAAAATATCGTCTCGCCTCTCCCCAACACAATGCCCCCCTTTCGCAACATTTTATTTTCGGTGGCATACACGTGCTTGCGAATGTGTGAGTTGCTGTCCACTACATATAACTTTTGTTTTTGTTAGCGTTTTAACAGAGAATATTTCTTAGTGTTGGACGCACGCGCAGCGCTCTTTAAAATGTAGTAGTGTACATTTAACACAGCGGAGACTGGTCTATTTACATGGGCCGATGCTTGTGTGTTGAGCGCTAGTAATGTGCCGCGATGAGCCACGAGCGTATAAGAGGCAAAGTACCCGGCACGTCGAAAATTTAAGCGATCGGGTCATCGACCACTGGCACCTCAGACAACAGCTTGTGAAATACACAAATGAATTTGTTGTTTGGATCGCACTGTTTACATTTACCCTTCGAGATAAATATTTGATTATTGCCATTTTATGACAAACCATTATAGGTTTCGTATTAATAATCAGTATTCGTTAAAAAATCACCTAACCCTCTTAATTATTATTCAAACCTGATTCGTTGATCGATGTAACTAAAATCTACTTTATATCGACCCCTTTCGTACCTCACCTTTAAGACCTAAGTTTTCAAATATGATCTACCGGGCTGAAGAACTCCTACTGTATCTACGTTGCCGTGGTAAGTATATAAATATCGAGCCTTTTGTTCATGTTGCTATTATACTGTGATCGCTACACGCGCCCGTTATTTATCGTGTCCGGTACATCGCCTCCACGTGCTCCAACTTGTGTATCGTGCTCACATCGTTCGTTATCACGGCGAGGGGGGCTTGGGGCAAGGCGCTTCGCTCGCTTTCGTGGGGCACGACGCCGCTCGAACTCCGTGTAGGAGGTAAACATTAAACACTGTTTGATCTTCTATGAATAAAGCGGTCATCGCGGTGCGGACACTTTTAAAATTCGGGAAAAATATTATCGGACTTATTTTGTCTTAATAGACGTTTTATTAAATACGTATAAAGACTATATTTAAATCAATGTGTGATTTGAGACGTGTGAATATAATAATTTATTTGTGACATTAAAAAGAAGTGTTTAGTTGGTTTGTGATTTTAAACTGTTTATGGCAACTGAAATTCGAATGACAGCTATTGGAACAGAACGTTTCAACAGTAAGTATTGTTTAGATAATTTTATATAACTTCTTGAAATATCTTAATGCTTCAATGTCAATATAAAAATGCTTTATGATAAATTTTGTAAAATCAAATGAGTTTCCAATTGGATGTCAGTTGGAATGCCAATCTAATGTAAGCTCCGTCAGGTTAGACAGGTCAGTTATTGTGCTCTCCGCATATGTCACACGATACGTCAGGTTGAGGTTTATAGCATTAGATATTATCGCTTTTTGTGTATCATTTCTAATCAATGTTAATAAATAGTAGTATTTAAACTAAACGTTTCCATAATATTTCCCTACAAATACTGTTATTATTGATAAATTAGAATCTACAAATATTCGTTATTGTTTTTAAATTAGAATCCTCAGAAGACATGTTTGAAGTATTTAAGAAATCGATATTAATCTAAAAGTCTTTCGCCAAAAGAAAAAAAATGTCTTATACTCGCATAACCATACGAAAGCTCATCGCACCCCAGCTTTCTACGATCGGCTTAGTCCGTAGATACTTCGCAATGTCCCCTTTCCGAATTTGCGGCTTCGCCCTTCTTCTCTTGCTTTAACCCTCTTCTTTGATGCCTTTGATCAGGGCTGGGGAAATGGATAATGTTAGACGACATTAGAAACTAAAGAGAAAATAGAGAGAAAAAATAATAGAAGTCGATTAGGGTTCATTTTGGTTAAAACGTCTTGAGACCTATGTCCTATGTCGTGAACTTGATGTTTTCCAATTTACTTTGGATTTGGCTAATTGTAAAACCGAAGCAAGTTATTTTATTTTACCTAATAGTACGACATATAAATAGATTCAATTTATCGTTTACAAATAATCTATAAATTACGTTTACATCTCAGTTAAAAATTTTACTATCTCGGTCCCTCGGCCCGTTAGCATTCGTTTGGGAACACCTGCTCTGTATCACGGCGTGTGTATTATACCCACACACGAACGTTTTTGTGTCCGAAGCTTTTCGAAAGCACTCATACAGTCATCTCGTGCGGCATGCACACTGCGCGACTAGTTGGCGAGGTCGCTGACGCTCCGAAACGTAGGCGCGTGGAGGCTCAGTACTCTGCACGATCAATTTCATCGGAGCTCGAACAGAAAAATGAGCCGTCTTCATGAAACAACGTGCCGAGTACTTCGCCTCTCTATCTCGTACTTCGTCATAGCAGAGCGTGTGTTCCCTCGAACCGACACGCCGCCTCTCTATACAAATACACAAACAACTCGACATTCACAACTTTGCGGTGTATTTTTAGAACGACGGCGATGCGCTATCCGAGAGGTTGTTTTTAACTGACATTTTTATCGAAATTATATTTATTTACAATTTAATATTTCTTTAAAATTTTACACCAAACGTGTGTGATACCACACTTTTTATCATACTGGTGTTCTCAAAAAACAGGAATACAAATAGTTTTTGTCAATACATTGCTCAACCGAATAATCATCAATCGCATTTAGTATTTACATACATATTTACGTCCACTGATAAAGAATATCTGTTATCATTTCGCATAACAAAATTTATAAATATTTTCTACGACGACGTCACTTGCATTCGTCATACAATTAATCATGACCTAGTCAAAATCTGTGAATATTTATCTTCACTCTCTTGGCATATAGCAAGTTTTGAGATAAAAGGCACAATATTTTCCAAAGCGCTTTCTCCCCACGCCACCCAACCTGACCCGTAGCATTTTGTTGGCTCGTCCATTTTGTGCTACGGTGCATTGAAATGGCGCATGCCGTATCGGCTCGTAGGCCTAGTACTAACAACAGATCGTCATTCAGTCACCGACTTCCGCATGGATTACTTCTTCTTCGTGAAACATAGAATTTTTCGTATTATTCTTGTGCAGTGATTATGTTTTGCAGTTAAGTGTATAAAAACATTTTGTGATGATGGCTGGTTAATATGAACTGTAAAGCTTTAAAAAAAATATTTTTTTTAAATTTTTTATTGATATATAAGTTACCAATCTGGGACTAAATAACATAGACATTGTATTAGAAAAATGTTTGTTAATAAGGATTTAAGTAATTTTAACGGTGAGTTGATTTACAGTGCACTTTTATCATCACAGTATTTTTATATTGACTTGCGGTGGAGCATTCTTGTACTTTTCGATCATTGTCGATTTTTAAATATATTCGTACATATTAATTGATTCATTTTGATTATTTAGTATGAGTTTATTGTTTTACAATACACAACAGTATTAAAGAACTAGAAATTAAAAAAAAATTAACGTTTTATTTTAGCAATCAGAAATCCTTATAAAATGATCTGCTGCTTGAATTGTGAATTTTGCGTTCACTTATTGATTCATGAAATTTGATTAAACTTTTATGTACGAATATATATGAAATATACATAATTGATATTCAGTGATACATTATTTCATATTTATTTTATTCAATTTAGTAATATAGATCTTTGTTTTAACAGGCTCTCAAAATTCGTTACCTCGTGCGAACGGCACGATGGTGGGTTCATACTATACTAGTTTACCCAACAGTCTTTTAGTTGGGGGTGAAATACCATCAAATTCACCTGCGGACTGTACTGCTTCTACCACAATGTCTTCTCCAATAAGTGGTAACCATATACCGCAAGCTTCAGGCGCTGTATTGCTCCGCTGCAACGAATGTAATATGACATTCACTAATAAGAGTGCATTTGGGGCGCATATTCAATCGCATACGAAGCAACAGAATGTTGCCAAGAGTGCTGTACAAATGTCTCCAGCAATAGGGACAGCCCAACAGACAACAGGACCCACAACGTCCTCGGATCCTTATGAATGCGATGTATGCAAAAAAACTTTTGCGGTACCAGCGCGGCTAGTGAGACATTACAGGACTCATACAGGAGAAAGGCCGTTCGGGTGCGACTTTTGTCCGAAGATGTTCAGTGTGAAGGAAAATCTCCAGGTTAGTTTCGAGAATATATCTTATTATCTTATATAGCTATATTAAGTTCTATAGATTTACGGTGTAACTGTCGGTTCGTTCAGGCTTCATTCAAAAGTGCAAGTGATTTCGACGCCCGAATAAGCGCTACGCTTGTGTGCTTTCAACGCGACGATTAAATTTTTAGATCAACATTCGTCATTTAAAAAAATAATATTTCGTATATTAATAAAATTATTGATTTGTATAAGGTCATACTATTAATTCATTTATAAGGCACTATATAATAAATTTGTGTTGTGATCATACTATTAATTTTTCATATTTTTGAGGTACCTAAATTGCATATATTTTGGAACTAAACTATATGCCATTTTTTTAATCAGTAAATTTGTTGCTAAAATTACATAACATAGTATTATTGTTTTTTGATTTTATTTTTAATTTGTGTTTTTCAGGTGCACAGGAGGATACATACTAAAGAGAGGCCTTATAAGTGTGATGTATGCGGCAGAGCATTTGAACACAGTGGAAAATTGCATCGGCATAAACGCATCCATACGGGCGAACGCCCCCACGAATGCAACATTTGTGGAAAAACTTTTATACAGTCAGGTCAACTAGTCATTCATCTGCGGACTCATACCGGCGAAAAACCTTACAAGTTAGTATTTTAAAATTAATATCTTTATCGTAAAGTTGACTATTTAGTCGAATAAATAAGTTTTTTGTAGATGTTCTATTTCAATTATTTTGACTTATCGCAATATTTTTTTCAGGTGTACGGTAGAAGGTTGTGGCAAAGGTTTCACTTGTTCCAAACAATTAAAAGTACATTCAAGAACGCATACGGGTGAAAAGCCATACCATTGTGACATTTGTTTGCGCGATTTCGGATATAACCATGTGCTGAAACTGCATCGAGTTCAACATTACGGTTCAAAGTGTTACAAATGCACAATTTGTGATGAAACATTCAAAAATAAAAAAGAGATGGAAGCTCACATAAAGGGTCATGCAAACCAAATTGTTGACACAGTTGAGGCCCCTGTACAGACTGTCGTACCTAGTTCAATGTCACCTGAAACGGATTCGTCATCGTGCGGGTCTGTGACGAGTAATAAAGAAAATAAAATCTATAAAGAAGACGCACCTGCTTATACTTATCATAGATTTGATCAACAATTAGGATACTCTAGTGGTATGAATCTCCTAGCCACGGCTGCTGTAGTGTCGTCTTCCGAGAAGAAAATTTCTTCACCCGTTTGTTATGATATGGAAATAGAATCTAATGATACAATTTATAATACTGAGCCAACTAATTATTCGCCCAGAAGCGTCGAAAGGTCGATGAACATGTATGAACATTTAGCCGTTATGAGGCAAGCATACCAGCTCATACCTCAACCTGTTCCTGAATACCATTCAAATTTAGAGAAATCAAATGATATCATAAAACGTGTAGAAGCAGCGTTGTCTGTTGCTGAACATAGTCCAACTACTTTTAGTGTACCTAGTTCATCACCTGAAAGACTTTCTGTGACACCACCACAAATATCTGAAATGGAACAAGATATTTTGGATTTAGCAGCTCATAAAGAAATGATGAGTCTGCCGCCTAGAAAAAGGAAAATGTACCTCAGGGATATTGAATCCGCTCCAGTTATCAATAATGTTAGATTAAGTTCAGTCATTCAATTTGCGAAAGCTTCATAAAAACATTATTGCTTTAAGATTATAGAACAAAGACTAGCAAAAATTCTTAACTACTTGAAGATTTAAATATTATTTTAATGAAAGCATTCTGATAAGAGCTTTTGGCTTTTGATTTTGATATATAATTAAATCGTCAATTTTATTGAGTATCTGAATGATGAGACAATTAAACAATCATAAAATTAAAAACTTATCATGTAAAAATTAATTCTTTGCTCGTCTTTCATTCTATAAGTTAAATTATTATTTGCATATAAAAGCAAGTTTCAAATTCCGTACTACCTTCATAGATTTAAGCAATATTATTTAGTAATGATAAAATTATAAAATAATATATTATTTATAATAGATTGTATTTATATTAGAAATTTAATATATATTCATTGTTAGTCGATTTGGAACTTGTTATCATAAGACTGTTAATATTAAATCTACAGGCGACTGCTATTATATAAAATGACTTCATTGAAAATATTATTTATAATATGGTGCCTCTTTGGCTCTATATATGACATTTTTATATTGACACTTTTATACTGAACCAGAAATTTTCTGGGAGTACTTTTATATGTGTTTGTGTATGTAAATGTGAATGTATTATGGATATCGTGGTTATTTTACAAAATTATTTCAAAGTTCATAAATATTTATGTACAATATGAATATAACTTTAAGTATGGTAACTTATTTTTTGTATATGTAGTTGGTAATATAAAAATTATACCTCATAATTCATCTAATTTATATTATTATATAGATATGCAGAATTGTCAATCAATGTATTTAATCCAATTTCGACAACCGAATTGTTGCAAATAATAAATATTTCCAATTCTATTAGCATAAGAAATGAATGTCTAATTCCTTTATAATTTGCATTCACAATTTATTTGACAGAGTATTGTAATACCTCGTTCTCAGGTAAACTATTTATTTTTATATATTTTATGTGATGCTTGTTAATATCTTTGTTATTTTTGTTTATAATATTTGTTCTATGAAAAATATCAGGATTTACAACTATTTTACCTGAACATATAAATTAAATCAGATTATGAAGAGGAATAATTAATCGCTTATAGACTGAATTTTTGTAAAAGTTTGTAACTTTTATAAATGTATTGTTAATTAAAAATTAATATTAGGCAATTTAATATACTTCAAATTGTTTATATAGTTTATTGATAAAAACTACATTCTGTTTGTATCAAATGAATCTGTTCATTAATTATTACATAATAAAACCGAATTATATCTCATAGGTTGTTTTTATTTTGCCAAGCCGAAAGGTTTATTACAATTCTGTAGAATATAAATATATAATCTGCAAAATAAATGAATGTTTTTGAAAATACATGCTGGAACGAAAATTTAAAGTTTTTTGTGTAATTATTTACAGATCATGAATTATAAATGCCATGTATACATAGTTCCTTCAGTGCACTATTTATTTGCTGAAATAGTCGAGCATATTGGAAAATTTACAATTTCTACAGGATTCTCTAACATTAGGTAATTTTTTTTCCTAAGTTTAATTTATTGTTTAATAAAAGTCATCATTAGCAATATTTAATAACAAAAAGAACGTAAAATAAATCATACTCTTTATTAATAATTAAATATAATATAATAATTAGTTATATTAATTTAAACTCACAGTCAATTATTCTAATGATATAAATTCTCATTATTGCATAGCATTCATACAAGCTTTTATTATATTTAATATCAAAATCATAAATCAGACAGAACTATTCTAAAAATATTTGTAAATCAGTCTAATCGATTTTAACAGCTCCATAAATTTTTCTTATAAAAGCATAAGCCGCAAAGAAACCTATTGTGCCTGTTAGCAGCCAAAATGTCAACACCATTAAACCTGGGAACAAAGTTGAATTATATTGCATTGATATAAATAGTTATTTAATGACATTTAATTAGTCACCTGTATAACTGAAGTATAGCAGTGTTGGAATAAATTCAGTGATTTCTAATTTTGTTAGAAAATAAAATATTGAATACGCTAACACATAAACTGCAGATCCTCCAGAAACAATAAAGCTGCGCCACCACCATCTATATTCCTGTTGAGAAATATCATCAATAATATCTCGAAAACCTGTTTAACGCAATTACCTTACCTCTCCACATAATTGGAAGTACACCATGACTATAGATATTTGTGAACAAGATATAACTAATATACAGAATACTAGAAACAGAAAACCAAATAAATAGTAAAATTGATTTTCCCAGATGGCTGTGAAAATAAAGAATAATTCTATGAAGACTGCTCCAAAGGGTAATATACCAGCCATTAAAGTGCTGAAATGAAAAGAAGAATATTGAATCATAAATCCAATGTTGATATTAATAATGCCGTGTCATTAATATGAAAAATATTTACCTCAACATTAGGTTCATGTACCACAGCTGCCGAGGAACTTGTCTTGGTATCTGATTTGTTCTAACAGGATGATGATAGGGTTGTTTTCTGAACCCAAAGTAATAACCAAGATATACAAGTGGCAATGAAATGCAAAACCACAAACATAATAAAGATACCATTGTCCCAAATGGTACGGCTCCACTGGAATGTTTACCCCAGATAAAGAAATTAAGGAAGAAGCAAGAACCTAGAAGCACAACATTCATAAAATTTTGAATTCAGTCGAGAAATACAAGACTAATAGTATTACCGAAAACAATTCCAGGATAAAATGTTGCTGTCAGGAAAGCACTTTTCTTCCATTCACGTCCTTTAATTGTTTTATACAAACGTGCAGCAACATATCCAGCAATTAATCCCATGAAAACATAACATAATATTCCAGCAGTCATCAGAGCGCCTCGGGATGCTGGTGATAACATTCCCAGCATTGCAAAGACTAGAATATTTTATTATAACACATTAAAACAATTTATTTAATAAATTTGCTCAAAATAAATATGCAATATCTTTTTACATATGATGATAAGGGACATAAAAAAGATTTGTATTCCGCTTCCAATAACAGCAGCAAATAATCTTGGATATTTTGGGGGTCGAAAAACATCACCATGAACTAATTTCCATCCTGTTTCTTCAATAGTTTCATCCAAAGATTCATCAGCATTATAACGTGCAATATCTCTTCTTAATGTTCTTACCATAATCATTGTTAAAATACCTAAACAGAAAATACAAAGCAAATTTAACATGGATATATATATATATATATATATATTTTTATAATTTATTTTTGTTATAATATGGATGTAATAACATATATATTGTTAGAATAGAATAGAAAATAAATGATACAATTTACCTGATAGGAAAAACACAACCACTAACGAATTGATAATAGAGAACCAATGAATCTGGACATCATTCATTCCCAAATATATATCCCATCGTGAAGCCCAGCTGACGTCTGATTTTCTCCATTCCACAGAATAGGTAAACCATAACTGTGTTGAGTGTTTGTTAACAGGTTGTGGCTTAGGATCACTAGAAAATTCGCATGTGTCTCCTTTGAATTTTAATTCACTCATATGAACTGATAAGGTTTCAACTTCAAAACCTACAACTCTATATGTATCTCTGCAATATAATGTATTTTTTACAGTAACTGATATCAATAATTATTTGATTCATTTAGAAAAGTTTACTTACACATTATGCATGTGATATAATAAAATCAACTTGAGGTGATTATTAATATATGCATGATTCTGTACAATATTACCAAGTTTGTATCCGGGTTCATATTGAATTTCTAATGAATTTTCATTCATAATTTTAGTTGCAACTGGTAGATTATCAACCAGACTGAAAACAGTAAATTACATTGATTTAATCAAAAAATCATCTATGCTAGTACAATATGAATATATCTGTATGATTATGAATTACCCTCTATATAGGCAATATTGTGCAATAATAAGCAAGGGATGTTTAAAATTATTTAAATTATAAGTCTGACTTACAGATGAACAAAATATTCATGTTCAATCCTTTCAATAACCTTTTGTGAATCTTCATCATTCCAATTCATGGGCTTGTCTTTCGAATGGCATAACAATTTGCACTCAATATTTTCTGCCATTCTTACTTCGTATGGAGTATTAACTATTCTGTCGCCTCTAAGAACTTCTCCTAAATTTTCTGACTTATAAATGAATGTGCCATTTTTTGGTAAACAAAAGGGTAAAGAATAGTATTCGTAAGGTAATTGAGTATGTGTGCTTGTCATCTTAACAGCTTTTACTTCGATTTTTTGTCCTTTGCGAAACTCTACAGGAGCTACGCCTGGGATATAGAATGATGAGCATTTTTGCAATAATAACAGTAATGTTATGACCTAAAATTAATAATAATTAAAAAAAATATATTTTATATGTTGACATATAAATATTTATTATGTTGTCATATGATAAAGAAGTTCTTCTCCGAATGTTCATATTAAATGAAAATGACATTTTCACTCACATATAAATTCATTATTTCAAAATACTCCTAAAATTTGAAAATATCCCTCAATTTTGACAACAAGCATAACCTATAAATAATCAAGAAAACACTTCATGCTCATACGTCGCATATCAGGCTTGCCACCTATGCAGACAAAAATAAAAAATTTAAAATACGTTTCCTCCCGTTTTGTTCAACTGCAAGAAAAACTGAAAACGATAAGAAACATTTTAATGAAAGATTTTATTTATATATGAAATTGACATCAATTTGTTTCAAAATCAAGTATCAAAATGACACTTCATAAGCTTTATCAAAAGTCGTAACAACAAAAATGCTAAACATTATTATAAACCATTAACACACTCATAAAGTATTTTATTTGAAATTTATTTTGTATAAAAAATGGAAACTTTCTATAATGCCTAGAATTGTCCTTGCCATAATTTAATAAATTATTGAAATATATGTTTTTGTTTTGCATGTTTTTATGACTTTGAAAAACTTATCTTTTCTTTGATAACTATACTTGCAAGTAATGATAATCCATACGAATATATTAACATATAAAAAATATTCAATATAGAATATAAATTCAAAAGCATAATTTGTGAGATATATACGTATTTCTATTGTCAAAGTTATGGATAATATAAAAAGTAAGTAAGATATATTTTAATTTTATACAAATATATTTTTAAAGTTTTAAATAAGTATTAAACTGTATTGTTGATTCAATTTATGAATTATATAGTTAAAATATGAACAAAAATATAAAATTAATAAAATCCATAAAGCTATCAGAAAATTGTGTTTGAAACAACTAGAATTAGTGAGTGTAGTTTTCATTTTAAGTTTCAAAGAATAGAATTGAATTCTTTCAATTTTTAAATAATCAAAAAAGAGTTTATTTATTTTCTTATGTTTTTAATAGTTTTTGAAAATGGGACATCCTGTTTCGCCATAACTTTATTATTTTTATTTTTAAAAATTCGACATTTTTTTATATCTATGTTGCAATGGCTTCTAAGCATTTTGGCATACCATAAAAGGAATGGATGTACATAGAGTGTCGAAACGTGCAAAATGATTAATTAAATTATATATTATCTTTTATTTCGACATTTTGGCTGTAAATAAACATTCAAGAATACGTTTCCATTTCAACGTCGAACAAAAAAAATTGAAGAATATATATGCATAATTATATGGGGCATATATGGGGTTATGGGGTTGTATCAATTTTATTTTTGTTCACATTTTAACAGAATTTTGATTATTAAGTTACTATTTCATATTTATTTATTTTTAAATCAATTGGCGAAAATCAGTCTCTACGAATTTTGTACCAGATGTCGTACTAATTATTTATATAACAGTCTAGCCAAGATTTCTGGACTTTGCTTTGTTTTGAATATGTTGGTTCGCTCGTCTCGTTCACACACCCATTGCGTTCCTATCTTCATTGCATTTTCGAACGCCGTGCGTAGTCCATTCTCTCATTCATTTGCATTTACTGTCACCCAGTTTGAATTAAGTTTCTAAAGTAATTCATATGTGATTTTAATAATGGCTAGTTCACGCATTTTTGGTGCTTTATCTAAAATTAATCAACGCAATGCCAGATTTTTTAACAGAAATATTTGTAAGTGTATGAATTTTGTACAAAAATTATTTTCTGTAACCAATTTAGAATTGCACTTTGACCGGCTATGAATGTGTTAAATTTTTGTTTCTCTTGCAGTTGCAAGAAAGATCAACACGGCTGCTGAAACTTCGAAACACGTTAGGACGAAAATAGTAGACAATGTCTGTGTTATTACAATTGATTCTCCCAATGTTAAGGTAAGGATTTATTTAAACAAATGTTAAATTTAAATAAAATTTTATTACTGCAATTGATCTTTTTTTCATGGGCTTGAATTGTTTGAATTTGGTACAATTACAATTTTTTCTTCGAGATTAATTAAAATTATCTATTGATCCAATTGTTTATTTTTTTTTATTATTAAATAGGTCAACTCACTCAGCCAGGGCGTCATTTCTGAAATGGTGGCTGCATTTCAAGAGGTTCAGTCCAATCCTGCTGTTCAGTCTGCGGTGATAATTTCTGGAAAACCTGGTTGTTTTATCGCTGGTGCCGACATTTCTATGTTAGAACAATGCAAAACTGCTGCAGATGCCACTAAAATGGCTTCAGAAGGTAAGTGAATCATACAAAGTTCATTTTACAACATATAATTTCATTTCTCACTATTTTAATAGGTCAAAAAGTGTTTGAATCAATGGAAAAATCGAAAAAACCAATTGTAGCTGCTATACAAGGTGTTTGTTTGGGAGGAGGTTTGGAGGTAGCACTTGCATGCCATTATCGAATTGCAGTTAAAGATGGCAAAACTGGTTTGGGGCTTCCTGAAGTAATGTTGGGTCTTCTTCCTGGAGCAGGTGGCACTCAGAGGTGATAAAATATTTTATTTGTAATTATATCGTTTTATTTTAATTTAATTATTCAGACAAATGTATATTAAACTTGCAGATTACCAAAACTTGTGTCATTACCTGATGCTTTAGATTTAACTCTCACAGGCAAAACAGTGAAAGCGGCCAAAGCCAAGCAACTGGGCATTGTTGATTTACTTGTTGATCCTTTAGGACCTGGATTAAATTCTCCCGAAGTAATATATTTTGATTTTATAGCCTTTTAAATTATTATCAAAGTATTTGCAATATTTCAACATTTCTTTATAACAGGCAAATACTGCAGAATATTTGGAAAAAGTTGCTGTTGAAACGGCAAAAAATTTGGCATCTGGTGCTTTAACTGTAGACCGAACTAAAAAAGGATTATTTAATACTGTCTTAAATTTTGCATTACAATTTAATTTTGTGAAGGACCAAGTCTTTGGGAAAGCTAAGCAACAAGTAATGAAACTAAGCGGTGGACTGTATCCAGCTCCTTTAAGGGTAAATATTTTAATAAATCAAAAAATCTACTTGATCATTTGCTTTTTTTTGAATTGCCACGATACTTCTGCCTACTTCTTGATTACTTATTTTCTTGATTTACATTTCAGATTTTAGATGTTATTCGTACTGGAGTTGATAAAGGACCTGCAGCTGGTTATGAAGCAGAAGCAAAAGCATTTGGTGATTTGTTGCAAACCCCAGAATCAAATGGCTTGATAGGCTTATTTAGAGGTCAAACAGAATGTAAAAAAAATAGATTTGGAGCACCAGAGAAGAAAACTGAAAAGGTATAGCAATATATCATTTTATCTTATAAACGTAATTTAAATAATTTTATTTATTTTTTGTAACAGATTGCAGTTGTTGGTGCTGGTTTAATGGGTGCAGGAATTGCTCATGTTTCTATTGACAAAGGTTACAAAGTTGTATTAAAAGACACTAACCGGCCAGGTCTTGGCAGAGGTATAGGCCAAATCCAAACAGGCATGGCCAATGCTGTTAAGAGAAAGAGAATGACCCAGTGAGTAAAATGCTACAACTATGCACTTTACATACATAAATAATATATAATTATTCTGATTCATTTTTCTTAGAGTTGAATGTGATAAATATATGGCAAATCTAGATCCAGTATTAGACTATACCTCTTTCAAAGATGTAGATATGGTGATTGAAGCTGTGTTTGAGGATATTAATCTTAAACATAAGGTACTTTACTATACATTACAAACTTGTAAACGTATTTCTGTAGTTAAATAATCTTTTATTGATTTAGGTTATTAAAGAAATTGAAGCAGTTGTTTCGAAAGATTGCATTATTGCAACAAACACTAGTGCTATTCCAATAACAAAAATAGCTGCTGGTAGTTCAAGACCTGAAAAAGTAATAGGTAAAGTGAAATTTAATGATGCATTGATTTTAATAATCTTTTATAATATAGTTTTCTTTATTTTTAAATATAAATAAACCATTTTCAGGAATGCATTATTTTTCACCCGTTGATAAAATGCAATTGCTTGAAATTATCACACATGATAAAACAAGCAAGGATACATGTGCGGCAGCTGTTGATGTCGGCTTGAAACAAGGAAAAGTAGTCATTACTGTTGGAGATGGACCAGGTTTCTATACAACTAGAATTTTGTCGACAATGTTATCAGAGGCTATCAGGTATGCTTCATCTTATTTTACTCAGGTTGTTAGCTGTTAATTATATTAATTTTTGCTATTTTAAAGACTTCTTCAAGAAGGTTTAGAACCAACTGATTTAGACAAAATCACAAAATCTTTTGGATTCCCTGTTGGCGCAGCTACATTAGCTGATGAAGTAGGAATTGATGTAGGATCCCATATCGCTGTTGACCTTGCTAAGGTAGGAATGATAATGATTATATAATATAAATTGCATATAAACCAAATGGTTCTTGAATATTTTAGGCATTTGGTGATAGAATTAGTGGTGGTGATTTAAATATTATGACCGACTTAGTTAAGGAGGGATTTATGGGTAGGAAATCTGGAAGAGGTATATTTATGTATCAAAATAAGAGCAAATCAAAGGAAGTCAATCTAGGTGCTTTGGATGTTTTAAAAAGATATAAACTTGAACCAAAAGGTGCTGATAGTGTTGAAGATCGGCAATTAAGGATGGTTTCAAGGTAAGATGTGATCATTTTCAAAAATAATAAAATTTGATTGTTATTATGAATGTTTCCATATTGTGTCGGGTTGATTAAAATAAAATTGAACTTTTATTTTGGGTTATATGATGAGAATTGGGTTATATGATGAGAAATGTGAGAATTTCACATTTAGAAATCATGGGAAGTTCCTTTTCTTACCTATTAACATTATGAGTAATGTTTGGTATTTACTTCATTTTCAAATCTATAGTCTTTGAATTTTTTACTTGATTGATATTAGTCCAATGCATGCTACATTTGACAACTCACATGCAGTTCTTTTGATGCAGAAGTTTTATCAACTTAAGTATTTTAATTTTCAAGATTTGTTAATGAAGCAGTTTTATGCCTCGAAGAAAAAATATTGGCCAATCCACTTGAAGGTGATGTAGGTGCTGTATTTGGTCTTGGATTCCCACCATTTACTGGGGGTCCTTTCAGATGGGTTGACCGTTTTGGAGCAGCAAATTTAGTTTCAAAAATGAATTCATATGCAGCATTATATGGAGCACCATTCAAGCCAGCTGAAACCTTGGTTGAAATGGCAAAAGATCCCAGCAAGAAATTTTACCCAAAGTAATAATATCATGCATTTGTAAATAGAGTTTAACTTGACTGATATGAAGAATAATTAAATTAAGTTGACTTAAAAAAATGGCAAATCCATCATCAATTAATTTTAGACATGGAGTATTAGTACCTGCTGCAAAGTTGTAACAGTCTGAAGACTTCAGCAAATTGGGATTTGTAAGGCACATTTGTTTCTTGTGCCATGTATTGGAGCATAATTGTTCATGTTTAGCATTTTATAAATTTTATTATATCTGTATTTTTTAAAATAGACAATAAATTTATATTAAAGTAGTATTTGTTTTTATATAAGACTAGCAAACCCGACGAACTCTGTTTCGCCACCAGATGATTTCGTGAGAAAGATGAAGAAATTTTTTGTTTATTTTATATTTGAAAAGGAAAAATGTGATTTTATTATAAAACAGTAATGAATTTATTTCGATTACAAAAATGCAGTGTTTTTTAATTGAACTTCTCTAAGTAAATGAAAGTGAATCCGTAAATTATCCGTTTCATTGAAGTGCTCTTTGGTAAACGACATTTTTTGTTTTTTGGTCTGACGTTAACACAAACAAAGCGGATGGTTTTCCAACTCGTGAACAGGCAATTTCTAAATAATCTATTTGATATTTATCCCGCAAACACTAAGCGATTGGCCTTGCGACTTGTTATTGCGAACGCAAGGCGAACTGGAAATTGCAATCGTTTGAAGTCAAACGAAAGACCAGTCGGAATTATTGGTATGTCATCAAATCGCCAGCAATTTTTGATTTAATGGTGAAATTCGGTGCGTGTATATCATTATTCTTTGCGGCAAGAATTGCTCGTTGACTTAACCAAGCATAATTCTGATAATTCTCACTAATTACTCGAAATTTTAATTACGGTGCGTGAAGTTCCAGCAATTTGCATTAGGGCACTATGCCATGCACCACAATTTTCTTAGCTATAAACCTTGCGGAGCCCGAGACCTTTCCACCAAATGCTAAATTGTCGATATCAGTTCGTGCGTTCTGGAGTTATTTCGTCAGGAAGGAAAACCCGACTTATTTTTATATATATAGAATATAGAAGATAATCTATTTGAAATTATTTAAAACAATTGTTGATTATTTTTATTACTCGAATTTTTAATTACGGTGCGTGAAGTTCCAGCAATTTGCATTAGGGTACGATGCTATGCACCACTAATTTTCTTAGCTATAAACCTTGCGGAGCCTTTTCAACAAATGCTAAATTGTCCATATCAGTTCGTGCGTTCTGGAGTTATTTCGTCAGGAAGGAAAACCCGACTTATTTTTATATATATAGAAGATAATAAATGTAGCATAACCCTAATATTTCAAATCAAATATATTTTAAATGCCAGGTACTTCTCATGTTCATTTCACTTGAAATTGTGAATTGAGTGTTTTGGCTACAGATTTGTGATAACGATTTTTGCTTCTTTACAATCGTGCTATTTGATATTAAATGAAAAATGAAATTATTCGGTTTTTTATTTGAAACGTTATTTGAAAACTTGAAGTAAACATAAACGTTTTTATTTGAAGTTTCTGTTATTAAATGTATTTAATCGGTTGTAGATGGCATTGTAACCGGTTTCTTATTAGATCGCACTACTTCCCGATTGGTTTCGCAAAATTCCCTTTGCTTTCGCAGGATACGATATATCGTAGAGGGAACCGGGCGCATGCGTGCTCCAATGCAAGCAGCGTCGCAACGGCCAGGCGCCTGCTGGTCACCCTGTTCACGTCTCTAAAAGCAACACTTACACATTCGAGACGAAAACAGTGCCGCGGCAGCAACGATAAACACGTAAAATAAACCGATTTGGAGACATGTTTAACGTGCGCGTTATTAAATTCTTCTAGTGATGGCCAATTATTATTTGACGATACGAACAGCTGATACTTTTTTTTAGTGTACTTACGCTACGGCATGAACATGATTGTGAGATCCATAAATAGTGCGCCGAGAATACTTCAGTTTTAACAAAAGCGACGGAATCGAATGAGTTTTTCTTAGATTTTTTGAAATGCCAAAAGACGCAACCACGAGGCTTCGCAATATGATACTCCACAACGATTGAATGCCTCCAAATAGTCGCTCATAACCTAAACTCGTATCATTCGAACGATGCAGCCTTCGAACGGCGTCGCAGGCAACGGAGTCGCTACTGGTAGCGGCGCTCCGGGGGCTACGAGTCCCACGGGTTCGGTCGGAGTGACCGCGGCTGCCGGAAAAACTCAAGTGCACGGAGGTAGATTTGATTTTGACGATGGCGGTACTTATTGCGGGGGTTGGGAGGATGGCAAAGCTCACGGACATGGTGTGTGCACCGGGCCTAAAGGACAAGGAGCTTATTCCGGATCGTGGCATTATGGATTCGAAGTATCAGGAATATACACATGGCCGAGGTATGCACTATTTTATTTTAAGAACATATGCTTCAAAGTTCTTATAGAGTCATTGGGTGTTATTTGGAAACTCTCATAATGAACTCGAATATTCTAATTAATATTTAAAACAAAACATACATTAGAAAAGGTTTTAGTGTAATATAAAAACATAAACTCTCATAAATCTTCAAATAGTCTAAGCAACTTTTGAATATCATTGAATCACGAATCATCCTTTCTGACATACTGTACATTAAACTTACTGCATTTAAATTTTCTGCCGAGATTCAAAATTTATTGACGCTTCTTATTTGCGATCTTCTAATACAGATCAAACGAAAATAAATTTGTGCCATGCTAACCTTGGTTATAAAGAGTAAGGCCCGGGAACACTCATGAAACATTTTATGTTTTACATTCTTGACACAGAGGTGCACTTCGAACTAGAAAATTGTGAAAAGACATAATAATTGACTTACGATTGATTAATGTCAACAACAGGTGTTTCAAATCTCGTATTGAAAATATGCAATAAATTATATGATAGTACTACAATAGCTTTATCATATGCAAAATCGATTGAAATCCATCCAAGAATAGATCTCCGCGCACAAGAATATTCATGATTTTCTTTAAGTAATTCCATTAGGCAATGTTGGTTCCACCATAAAAATTCCAGCTTGAATTGTCCAAACAAACACGTGGTTTTGAATCCGTGTTTATTGCGGCATTTCCGCTTTCTAGTTCCGCTTACTGGAAATAACTTGAGGCTATTGATGAATACCAGTGCAATAATAAGTGAAAATGTATTTCAAGCGCACCAGTGTTGTGTTTTTCCTCTGGTACACAACAAATGCATTGACGTGTTTGATTGATTGACGGTTTTACGTAATCCTAGCATAAGCAAGGGTACTCGTCAAAGGTTGATATGGGGAGGGTTTTATTCTGATAGAATATTTTATACAGAAGGCCATTCTCATTTTATGATTTGAGCTTAACCTTTGTTTTATTCTTTTTCGTTAATCTCTGATTTATCTGATTCCATATACAACATAAAATTAATAATAATTCATATATCTTTTATTTTTATATTAGTTAAGATACAGCACAGCTAAATTACCTGCGATTTAAGTCATTTTTTCATGCCTCATGTAAGATTTACATAGACAGTCATAATATAATTAGTGAAATTTAATTCAAATATGTTCGAAGTATATACAGAACATTTTTATTAGAATCAAAGAATATTAACTGGTCTGTATACTCTCAATAAATAAATATAAACATTCTTCATAATGCTCTGCAACTCATAATCGATCTACTTTCACATTATTGACTTTGCTTCTGATTTTTTAAGAAAATCTTCAGTTAATTAATTACAAAAATTATTTAAAATTAATTATAACTAATTTAATTCATATAGATCATCAATTACTTTCATACGATTTCTTAAGGGGGTCTTCCTATGTGACGGCCTGTTTTTTAGGGATATTTTAGGATTTTTTTTCTACGACTAGTAAATATTTAGAGCTTCAAGTTTTTTATCATTTATTAACACATATTTGGACAGTATAAATATAAAATTTCAGCTAAAAATATTCAGTCAAACTAGAGTTACAGCGCTCTGAACACCCCCGCCTCGAAAAAAAGAGCTCCCACTTCTTGATTCCGGCTGATCGGCTTATCTGAAAAAAAAAATAAACGGCGTTTTAATTTGTAGGCTTAAAATCACGGAATGACCTATAATCAAATGAATATAAAAAAAATTGGATTTTTGATAGACATTTGAAATACAAGTTGCAAATTAGGCGTTTTTTTTTGTTTTTTGCTATAAAAAATCGAGTGTGCCCTGTAAATTTCAAGTAATTTGGTCCAGCCGTTTCTGAGATACAATGGAGGAAAGTTTGAAAAACACAGTTTTGAGAAAAACGCGTTTAAAGTTTCTAACTGCCAACTCAGCGCTCCGAACCGCTCTTTCTTTTACCTGCTGTATCTTTAAAACGACTTCGAATTTTCTAAAATCGCTTTACTACCGTATTCTAGACATGTTAAGGGAGCAATTTGTGAAAAAAATCGATTTTTTCAACCCATCACATAGGAAGACCCCCTTAAAAATCATAACCACAAGTTCAAAGCCATTGGAACTTAATTCTAATTTGAACATTGTAATTACATTGATTTACAATTTCTTTTATAATTATAAAATTCCAACTTATTGTTAGATATTTTCTATCAATCAAATCAAAATATCTACTTATATTGTACCCGTCGACCTATGCAAGTATCTTTGTAGTGTATAAATCATCTGCATACCAATCTGTCTCTTTTACCTAACTATCTATTCATCTTTCTAACTAAGTCCATAGATCGTCATTATTATGCACAATGAAAGAAATAGAAATATTCTAGATGAACTGAACGTTATCATTATAACAACAAGGAAACTTGTAAGATAACATTTCGAATTGGCTGGTTGATTGTATTATTTGGCCGGTACGTAGTATTCACATTAGTCCTGATAAATCTGTAAGAATTTTGCATTGGTCACATCACTCGTCTTTGGTTTATTTTCGTTCGATTGTCTCTGCTACACGGTCGACGACTGTGGGACCCGTGTGGCGGGGGGCGCCCGAGGTTCCTTTTCCACTTGCTCTCGTTTCTAGATTTGCTTTTAGTCAACGCTCATTATAATTGTCGTTATAAAACTGTGTTGAGGCTTAACACATGAACACGACATTGAGTACGCTTTTATACGACGAAATAAACACTTGTAAATTGTAAAATGCCCATGAATCATTTACTTTTATAGTTCATTCAATAATTTACAAACAAAATTAATTTTGAAATTTATTT